CGCATGTTTCGGCGGCGACGACGGATTTCACAATAGCCTCTCACATGGCCACTTGACTTAAAATGATCCCAATCCTTTTACGTGACCGGCTTCGATCGCCCTCACGCGGGGCTTGTGTTCTGCTTCCGCTGTTGACTCCTTTTCTTTACAGTTAATCTACGAAGGTGGTGATCGGGTGATTCGGGCTGATAGGTTATGGAAGCACGTGGGATGTTGCAGCGCACCACTGTCCTAGTGCGATCAGCGTTGTCGTGGTCGGCCGCCGGTTATCCGTGATCTTCCAATCAAACGCCAACCGAATAACTTTCCTCCAGATCATATCCAAGGCTCTTCTTAGTCCGGGGACGCTAACAAGTCGGGCGTGGCCCGACCGCGTGTCAATTCTTGGCAGCGGAGTCTCAGCTGCACGTGTTGCCTGAGGCACACTTTTGCTGAGTGCAACAATCGTAGCGCTTGGCCATTCGTAATGGGTTAACAATTCATTTAGTTGAAAGCGCGAACGCGCCTTGCGTACGGACCGGCCTTTTGCCTACATGGGAATTTTCACTGTTAGGTTATGTTCACTGTTTCAGATTTCTGTGTGTATAAATACCCACTGAACTTTATTCACGCGCCGGTGAAACAGATTTATGTTTATATCTCCTTTATACTTTCGTTTGTGGCTCTTTACGGGTACCCAATTTCCACGTGGGGAATGGACTGGTGATTAGTTTTTTTCCACTCACAGATGTATGACTTGATTGCCAAAGATCACAAAACGAAATGAACGAGCTGCTGCCCAACAACGCGCTGGCAACGTGTACTGGAAAGTTCGCCAGCCGCTAAGAACGGGACTATTCCTGATTTCTCCTCTTCCTCTGTTCTCCTTCGCACGCACCGACTGTACGCAAGGGCGAGAGGGTAGATCTAGCTCTGCGTGTGCGAGTAGTGCGACTAGTATGATCTACGTTTTACTCTAACTTTTGACTTGCGGCGTGTACGGATTGGGATGAAAATTGAGTTATTCTACGCTCGTAAGGTTTTCTGTTTTCAAAGCCCACCTGACCCCTACATGCTTTAAAGTTTATAGACTTGGGTTTTTTCCAGGGTTCGGAAAACATGAAAAATTGTATTTTACAAAGGTTTTACATGTGAAAAATAATTGTTAACACACACAACCGACTTGTGTTTTTAGCACAACTTGCATTAACACGCCGTGTTTTTTACACAATGTGTTTTTAACACGATGTGTTTTTGACTTCAAAAGTGTGCGAGTCAAAAAAACTGTAACTGTTAACATTTTATAGAATTTTATACTCTTTTAAATATAAAACAAAGGAAAAACTCGTTGATTAACCCACTAACAAGTTCAATAAAAAAAAAAACAAGAAAAGACACATTATATTAGTAACGGCAGGCAGAATCAATTTATTAACATATATAGTGAGCTGTCTTCATATTTAATAGTGTTAAGTAGGTCTTTGTTTAGTTTTACAATAAACTTTCCTTTTTTTATTAACACAAAAAGGATAATCACCGGAATTTAGAGCGGAATTTTTCAGATTTTTAACATAACAGTTAACATAAGTTTTTGATATTTGAGCTGTGTGAGAAACACCCCCTGTGTTAAAAACACGCTGTGTAAGAAACACGTCGTGTTAATAACATGTCGTGTAAATAACACAAATGACATGTGTGAGTTATTTATGTTTCTAACATTTGTAGGCTACAATTTTTAACACACATGTCAATAATTTTTTTGAACTTAACACTTGGACATTTAAGGGCTAGTACTCAACCCAACAAAAAGTCGTCCAAAACAAAAAATGTTTCATATGAAGTTTTTTGTTTTGAACGACTTTTTGTTGGGTTGAGTTACTCAACTTGAGTACTAGCCCTAACACGTTAATAACACAAGTTATTTACAGTGTGTGTTCATTTCAGAACCCTGTTTTTTTTCAAGTCAAAGTGAGTCAATATTACAAGTTAAATTATAAGTTCACACTTCAAAATTAACTTTTGCAGGCTGAACTTGGATCTGCACCACTTTAAATGGTTTTATTTGTATTTGTAATTTCAGTCAGTAAAAGATATACTTTCAGCCTTTGTTTAAGTTTATGTATTTAATTAAACATGTATTCCAGTTGTATTTCTTTCTCATTCTAAAAGAACTAATTAAGGTTGTGAGTTCTTCTATAAAAACTGGAATAACATTTAACAAAGTACCACTACTTTTTGATATCTTTAGTTAGTCTACATAATCTAAAGAAGCTTTTCCTCTTAATTAGTTCTTGAAGAATGAGAGCACAATTCGACTGTAATCTAGTTTAAATCGGCTCAGAAAAAAGGTGACATCCAGGTACGTTTTTTTTTTTTGAGTGAAAAAATTAAAATCAACACACAAATCACACTGTGTAAAAAAATTAATGATTTTTAAATTTACCTCAATAATTGCAATAAATTTGAATTCGTTACGAATTTCCAAGTTAAAATGCGTTTTACAAAAAGTTCCCCGACGCAAGGATTCTTAGCAGAAGGACCACAAAGCTAAAAAAATGCTGAAATTGGCAAACTATCACTGACAAACGGTTTAATGGTTTGTTTTACTGTTAAGGTATTCTAGAAATGACTCCAAGCCCCACACTCAGAATAATTTTAGGGTGTTTTTTAAAGGAAAAAAATAAAAGAAAACATAGGCATAAAACGTAAAAACATACATCTGCGGTCAAAATAGTAGTAGTGTTCCCGTCCTTCATTTTTAAAGGTTTATCGAGGAAAATTTTTGATGTAACATGGTGTCATTATTTTTGTGTTCAATTTTTTCGATCAGAAATCATTACACTATGCAACATCTAAAACCTACCTCGATGGGTGCTATATTTATACCCTTGCAGATGGTATTATAATTTCAGTCAGATGTGTGCAACGCAATGAAGGAGACGTTTCCGACCACATAATGTATATATTCTTGATCAGCAGCAATAGCCGAGTCTATCTAGCCATGTCCGTCTGTCCGTCTGTTTCTACGCAAACTAGCCAGTTTTGAAGCTATCGGCTTGAAACTTTCCCAAAAGTCTTCTTTCTATTGCAGGTAGTATATAAGTCGGAACCGGCCGGATCGGACCACTATATCTTATAGCTCCCATAGGAAATATCGAAAAAAAAGAAGTTAAAAAATTCGGTACAGGTTCGGTAATTTTTTTAAATATTAACTTCTACTCTTTATCTTTATATAGTTGCCATAGGAACGGTCGGAAATTTAAATGCAAATTAATAGGAAAAAAATTACTGCTTTGTTGGTTTTTATTGTATTCCCTTTTACTCTGGAATATGACTCTTTTTAAAAATTTCCGAATTTCGATTTTAATTTTATCAAAATGGAACTACTAAATCATATAGCTGCCATAGCACACTGGGCCAGAAAGTTAATTTTTTGGCCAAAAATCTGTAATTTCTTTCCTAGGACAGTTAGAAGGATGCAGTTTTTTGCGTTTTTTTTTTAAAAGATTAAACTTTCCAACGAATTAAAAGTAAAATTTCTTGGAATTTTATATGATATAGATAATCCAGACCAAAGTCGGAAAATTTTACGTACTTTTCGGTTTTTTATTTTTAAAAAAATAACTAGAAGACGCACTTCTTCTTTTTTCGAAAACAATAAAGTATGAGATAAAACAAACTAAAAAAAATTAACATCACTAAAAAATATTATGTCATTTAAGATTTATGAACCGTTAAAAAGTGCAACTTTCGGAGGCTCCCACATCAACGTTTATCAAACAATCGATTTAAAAAAAATTTCTATTTTTTTGTTCTTGTTACCTTTTAAGTTTTATATAATCAAATTATGTAAAAAAAATTGTTTAAAAATATTGTTTTTTGATTTGTTAAATGTTAATTTGACATATTCTGAAGTCATCACAAAAGTATGCTACATTTTTATTTGCATAGTCCTGATTAAATAGATAGATATAGGTTTGGAAAATACCATAATCGATTAGTGTACGTAAAAAGTAGATTTTAGATGTTAGTCACACTAAAATCAAATTTTTGAGCTCAAAATGTTCACCAAAACCTGAAGAAATAAAGTATGGCATACTCTTGGGCTCTCTTAGCTAAGCTCTTCAAAATAGCTCGACTTCGAGTTAAGCCTTCAATAAAAACTTAAATTACCGAAAACTAAGGCAAAACCGCATCGAGTCGGTGGGCTACGCTTTTAGTAAATTGATCAACGAATTTTTTTTTGAAGGAATGAACTAATTTGGGGATGGCACTCGAAGGCACTCGAAAAGCAAAGTACTCATTTGCTGAAAAAAAGCGTAAAAATTAACAATTACATTTATTTTAGCAAACAAGTAAGACATACGAGCTATATTATATTTTTTACTTGTTGAAAATAATCCCTTCTGCAAGTTTCGGAAAGAAGTCGAACAGCAACATCAGCATCTTTGACTTCTAAATTTTTTTTCATTTCCATCAATATTTTATGAATTTTTCACTTTGAAAATATGGTAAAAGAAAACTACTTGCCCGAATTCTTTGAAACTTTGGCATAAATTAGTTTAATGTATTATAAAAAGGATCCCAAACTCAATTTGGTCATTTTCTTAAAAAAGAAAAACGTATTTTTGGCCAAAAATCTGATCGGCTGGCCCAGTGTGCATAGGACCGATCGGAAAATTAATGAGAAATAATAGAAAATTTAACATTTGTAATTAATAGGAATGCTCTGCAAGGGTATATAAGGTTCGGCTGTCCGAAGCTAGCATCCTTTCTTGTTTAATATTATTTTTATCAACATTTTTTTAGAATCTGGCAATCTTTGCTTCGGAGATTCTGTTAACGCTGGCAAATTTATATACACTTGTAGAAACGTTTTAACTTACTGTAACCCACTTTGTCACAAAAATAATATACTTATATTTTATATAATTTTAATATGGATAAAACACTTAATTACCTTTAAAGTAATGACTTAAGTTAAATTTTTAAAACCATATTTGTCTTATCATTCATTTTAGTCTGCAAGCTCACCGAGGCGTGTTGCCGTCCCTGTACTTGTAAAGGACGGAAAGCCATGCTCTGGAAATAATAACTCAACGCAAACGCAACCACACGGAAATAGTACTACGTCAGCAGGAAATAATAACACTACTACCAATAGTGGAAATGCCAATAGTGGAGGAGTGTCTGTAACTGCCAATGTTTCAAGTGGTCTCAATCTTATAACAGGAGATGCCCCCAACTCTCACTCGCCGGATACATCAACTTCTTTACTCGCTAGTTATGGGACTGTTGGAGGTTCCAACGTTGCTATGCTGCAGCAACCCTGCAATAATACTTTGATGTCAAATAGCTTGGCAATGGCATATAGAAATCAAAATAATTTTATATCTAATGGACATCAGCAGCAATGCGGCGGATATTTGCCGTTACAAGGCCGAGCATGGTAAAAATTTTCGCTTATCGGATCTTTACCAGTTTTTACTTCCGAAAGATTCAGACAAATTAAAATTTCTAGACCTGTTCCGAGACTTTTTTCCGAAAGATCAGCATGAATTTGAAAATCCCTATCTCGTTTGACTTTCAAAAAAGCATTCGGTTACCGGATTTGAATACACCAGTTTAAAAATTCAGTGATTACGAATGTTTTGCGATGTATTTAAAGGCAAATAATATTTGTAATACATTCCTTAATGTCCAGGGTTCGTAAACATCACTCACTTTTAATATGCCCCAAAAATCATTTCAATCATTATCAAGTATTATACAATTTGTATAGTTATTTTCCGAATCCTGTAAAACAGTTGTGATTTTTATCAGAAAAATATTTATCAGCCCTGCTTGGTTACTCCTAATTTTATTGTGACAAATATCACCGCCCTATGTTGAAATTATTATATTTAAACAAAATTACAGATTGTGAGGGATATTTTACGAACCCTGTTAATGTCTAATGTTCGTTATTACATCGTAAGATTTTAAATTGTTAGCCCTTAAAATAATGTAAATGCATATCTCTAATGCGCATAGACACAAATTAAGAGCACGCCAAAAATTAATAAGCCCTTTGGCTAAAAAAGCTCAGGGAAAGTTTAGGCTTTATTAAGGGACGACCGCAGCAGTCATCTGTTTTCTTTTACGCCTAAAGGTACCTTCCCTAAAAAATTCGTAAAAAAATAAGGAAAATTGTTAAAGGGAAATACGATTAATGGAACTGAATGCCCTTCGAGTAAAAACTGTTACAGGCCGGTATATAATTTAACCAAGTGTACTCTATTCGGTTATTTATGTAGAAGATATTAAATACAAATAAAATTAAATGTTATATCGGATATCAGATTCATTAAATGAAATATACATTTGTAGTAAGCCCTAACTTTAACGTCAATAGTAAATATATTTAATATGGTATACGTGCATATTTACAAAAAATTGCTCAAAAAAATTATATATAAGTGTATATAACTAGGCCAATGTATTAAATAAATAATTATTATTTAATAATCATGGAAATTTAATTTTTTGAAGCAATCTTGGGTTTAGATGACAAATCTATTATGAGGTTGCTTGGCATCTAACGTTTTTAGCTGTAAGGATCATTTCGAACGCATCTTTTATTTATTAGCTTCTTACCTTCCAGAGAACGCATCTCTTATTTATTTGTTTCTTACCTTCCAGAGACCCAAAAAGAAAAGTGTAGGAAAAGTTGGTTTTAAAGTTTTTAAGAATTTACGTGCAAAAAGAACTTGGCGGTCGGCCATGGTTCTCTTGTAATTGAATTTCAAAGTTCCCGGGTTTGCTATTAAAACAAGTATTTTTCTAACTTTTCTAACGTTTGCTATAAAAATCATATATGTACCCTTTTCCTTTTTTTGTTAAAATAAGACTAATTTAAAATTCCAAACATCTGAGTAATTGGTATTATAGGGAACTAGTCCTCACAACCGCGTAAAAATGATCCTCGATGGACAGCGATTTCTTAAGAACTCTCATAGCCATGGATGACCACATGTGGATTTTTTATTTTGATAATCAGAAGAAATCGCGGTCCAAGGAGGATTGTATATTTTAACCTTTCTTTTAGTCTTTTCCACCCAAAACCAAACAAAGATTGAATTTGTTTTTCTGAGCGACACAACAACCCTTATTCAGCTAAAACTACTTGTTTAATACTGACAAAAAGAACTGCGCCGCAGGCAAAAAGAAAAATCGCGCGATTTTTTCTTTAAGTTTTTTTGTCTTTGGCGCAGACTTTCTTTTACTTTCTTTTTTAAATGCACTACTTTCAAATACTTTCTATTCGGGAATACTTCAGCAGAGAGATTTCTAGATCATAAAAGGTTATTAAAACTATTATTATTCATTAAAACTATTTAAATTAAACAAATTCTACATTCTTTATAGTATTATTAAATATATTAATTTTATAGGAACTCATTAAAACGTAATTACTTTGATTGAAAATATGAGAACAGCACCCTTGTTTTTTATAGCAAACCCGGGAACTTTGAAATTCAATTGCAAGTTCTTTTTGCACGTAAATTCTTAAGAAATCGCGGTCCATTGAGGATAATTTTTTCGCGAATTTCGGGGGTGAGCCCGCTAATATATAGTATTACCTTATTTTTCTTCCACAAATTTGCCTTATAGGCATTGCCTATATGGGCCGTCCTTTTACAAACCGAACAGATTTGGCCAAAACGAGTTTTGCACATATTTGATTTGCCTGAAACTTTTTTACGTGTACTATTCGGAAAATAAGTACACTTCTATCAGTATTTGGTAAAAAAAAAAATATTTTTTAGTTCGAATTAAAAAAAGGAACTTCTCATTAATAATTTGTATTGGGTGCTTAATGGGTTAAGAACATTTTTGTGTCATTTAAACGGAATTGAAGTGCTCTTTCCATAGGTGCCAAAATGTTTATATTATAGGTTCAAAATATGAGTACAGTTAACATTCAAATTTGTGAAAATACTTTTGACTAGGGTTGTATAAATACAATGGCCATCATCTTTTAAAAAATTCGTGGTCTGTCATCTTTTACATTAGGTAAAATGGTAACTGGAAATATTGTTCTGCTGAAGTTCTGTACTTCGCGTTAAAGCTAAATCATGGACCGGAAACAAATATTATTGTAAAATGTGTCTTACAAAAAAATGCATACAATTTTTTAAATACACGACTATTTTTGTTAGCCATTCACAAGTCCGTGAATGAATTTCATTTTTTTAATTTTGATAATAAAACTAAAAAAATAACTGTTATTTGTTGATTTTTATGTATAACGGTTATTCCTTAAAATTTTCAAAAAAATGAAATTTCTAAAAAGCAAGAAAGAATGCTATAGTCGGGTTGGTGTCCCGACTATCTAATACCCGTCACTCGGCTAAAGGGAATGCAAGGGAGATGGATATATAAAATTTTTTTGATTGCGTATAACTTTTTAATGAATGGTCCGATTTGAAAAATGTTTTCTACATTTCGATAGGTATAAATATACACAACAAATTTGCATTAATACTTCTCGGAAATCTTTAAAGGTGTTGCCGCCAGACACATTTTAAAATCGTCAGTGAGCGATTGTGGGCGTTAGAGGGGGCGTGGCGCTCGGCTAAAATAAACTTGCGCTGCGTAGGAAGCCCAATAATATGTGCGGAAAATCTCAACCTTCTAGCCTTTGTAGTTTCTGAGATCTCAGCGTTCATACAAACAGACAGACGGACAGACAGACGGACAGACAGACGGACAGACAGACGGACAGACAGACGGACAGACAGACGGACAGACAGACGGACAGACAGACGGACAGACAGACGGACAGACAGACGGACATGGCTATGTTTTCGTCAACGTACAAAAGTTCTGATATCAACTTTTGTGACGAAAAATGATTTTAGATGCGACTAAATAAGTACGCTGCCTAAAATTTACTCGTTCGACCCGCTTTAGAAAATATTTAATATCTACACGAAAGTTTTCTGTTGTAGCGTGCCGAATGAATAAATTTTAGGTAGCGTACTTATTTAGTCGCATCTAAAATCATTTTTCGTCACAAAAGTTGATATCAGAACTTTTGTACGTTGAAGGTGCGATCGTCACTAGTTTTTTACCTCGTTAAGAGGTGTTTTTATTCTATATCAGAAGTTTTTGTTTGTTTACTTTTGCTCTCATAGGTGCTAATATAAACATTTAAATTTAAATTGGTCAATCATAATTTTTAAACTACTGTATTTTAACGAATTAGGTTAAAAAGGCGTTGAAGTAAAAGGTATTTGAAAGGTATCATATTTCAAAATACCTTTTAAACGAGGTATAGCACATTGGTGTACCTTTAGTAGTGTAGAACTTACAAACTAACGAAATTTAGCTATTTTTAGCTTTTTTCCCGCTAAAGTAGCGGATTTTTCCAAAAGTCGTAGAACAATAGGAATCTTTTGTTCTACGAACTCTTATGTGCAAATTTACTGATTCCATGACCGTAAAATACAGTTTGGATACCCACACACAACATTCAATACTCAGGGAGCGTTAGTTGTTCGAGCTGGCAAAAGTGGCTATTTTCGTTTCTGAATAACTTATAAACGTGACTTTTGACCAGGGACCGTAAATAACAGTTATTTGAGACTTTTATTTTAAAAGGCCTACTGAGATTTGTTTAATTTTTTATCAACAATTTTACTGGTTTTTATGCACTTCCAGATTTGTTGAAATGCATATGCTTTGTGGATAAGAGTAAAAAGAGTGTTATTTTTGACGTTTAAAACAAAATATCACAGTAGTCTTTTTAAAATAAAAGTCTCAAATAACTGTTATTTACGGTCCTTGCTTTTGACAGTTATGTGTTATAGACCAAAATTTAAGGACTCTCAAGGGCTATACAGATAATAGTTTTAAAGAAAATCGTTAGAGCCGTTTTTGAAAACAAAAAACAAGTTTAAAAAAATTCTTTCTCATTACGATCGGACTATCACAGCATATTTTCAATTTTGCGGCACCTCTCCTTGTGCGCTTCGTCACTACATGGACTGCCGTCCATAGTGATAGCCGCAAAATTGAAAATCTGATGTGATAGTCCGATCGTAAAGAGTAATACACCAAATTAAAGGTATTGCTAAGACTTAAAGGAATACAGACCAAGACCTCAAGAAAATCAATTGGTTTGGGAGAGAGAGCGATGAAAGTGTAAAAGTGAAAAATTAGAAATTTGGAAAAATGCGCTTGATATGATATGCGCTTCATATCAAAGAATCTGACGCTCCGTTCAAAAGTTATACCTAAAACAAATTTGCGGGGGCCTAGTCAAAATGAAAATTTAATTCTGTTTGTCCAAAACATGGTTTTAAAATTATCACAGTCGTCATTAAATACACTTTCTAAAATTGTATCATTCGGCACGCTGCAATAAAAAAGCCTGTGAAGAGTGAAGAAGAAAAAGGCTGGAATAGTTTACTAGGGCGGGCCGAATGATAAAATTTTAGAAAGTGTATTAAATGACGACTGTGATAATTTTTCGTCACAAATGTTGATATCAGAACTTTTGTATGTTGAAGGTGCGATCATCACTAGTTTTTTACCTCGTTAAGAGGTGTTTTTCTTTGATAAATAATTAGATTTAAAACAATTCTGAGCTAAAAATTTTAATTAGGTTTAAAATATTAGGGAAAAGCTATATTATGGGTGAATATAACTTATCTTTAGTTCAAAAGACCGTTTTTGTTCTCCGTTCAGTTCAAATGGTCTTTGATCAACCGAAACAGTTTTGAAACAAAAAAAAAAACAGGTTATTGGTTAAGAAAAGACCGAAAATCTTTCGAAACAAAATGAACAGTTCTTATGTTACTATTTGCTCTAAGGGTCCCGAAGCGAGACTTCTGGCTCTCAGCTGAGTGAGGTTCAGACTGCTGCTGGGGGGCGTAAGAAACTCTCAGTTGTTCCACATAGGAGCAACTATTTGTTTCAAGATATACGCCTGATACCACATCTGAGGATCGTGAAAAATTCCCATCCGAGGATATTGTGGTTGGACAATTTCGATTTTCATACGCCCGCAGGATATCGTCTTTCAAAATTTTTGCTCCGCCTGATGTGTTTAAAGTACTGCTATCTGAAAGCTTTTGGCTTAATGATGATTTGGTTATAAAAGAATTGGTTCCCAATAAACCGAAAACAAATAACAGGCCTTCCACGGTGCCAAATAACTGAAAAGTTTATTCTTGGCTTACCAAAATTACTCATAGCTCCTCTTCATGGTCAAAATCAAACTACCCTTTTCCCTTAAATAGGGCAAATTGTATTTTTTCCCCTATAATTACCGAAAGTTCTCTCTTATGAGATTTAAGAACAACAACGCCAACTTATTCTCCCAGTCCTGATGGACTTCCTGGGTGTGTGCTTAAGTTTTGTGCATCAACCATTTGCAAACCTATTCTAAAGCTCTTTCATTTGTCTATTTCATCA